AAAAAAAAAAAAAAAGCTTGTTTTCAACGTCAAATTTGACTTGAAATATTGACTACCCAATTTTACGCACTTGTGAATGCAATGTCAATATTTGAAGTTTGAAGAAAAAAGATACTTTTTTTTTTTCCAAACATCAAATACTTTATAAAACTCAAGAAGATTACACTTACATATCCACCTGCATACAACATAACAACATATATGCTAAAAAACAATAATGAGACGTTAATCACAAGTCGTGCTCCTCGAACAAGGGAACAACCATATATAAGTGATGACCCGACACGAACAAAAAAAATACAAAGCTACAAGAAAAGACAAATTCGCTCAGAACGGAATTGAAATCCACGCAAGAAGGAACTAGACCAATCATTTCTTATTCGCATCAGACAGAACTAATAGAGTCATAGAATATTGGTCGACACACACACAAACAAACACCAAAGAAGAAACAACACAACCTAAAAGTCTAACACAGAAAAATACAAAACTACCTATAAGATATAGTAAAGTCCTCCACGGCCATCACCCAAAAAGACCCACATTGCAACCAACCGAGCCAGCAAATCGATGATAGTCTACAAAAAAAGAGCCCAACCTCAACCAAGAATGATAACCAAAAACTCCACACTAAAAATGACTATGACTAACCATATCTGAGACCCTCGACTTTGATTAAGCCTTCAATGCAATCGACCACTGCCTAACGGCTCTCATAGCAAAACCGCACAACGTCATATTTTAAAAAACACATTAACAAAAGTATTCAAATAATTTGTGTGAACTCAAACAGTTAATTACCACAATAAAAATCATTAAGCTTGTCTTTAAATACTAATCTATTTACCATCCTTTTCGGATCTTTTTATCCCCAAATCGAAACACGCACAATTTCCTTGCCCTATTTCTCTGTATACAAACCAAAAGCACAAAATTTTTTCCTTTCCTCTTTCATTTCATGGCAAGATGACTGTCTGATTTTCGTTCGGCTAATGGTCTATGCATATCCCATTTGAGGTAATCATCTTTTATTCTCCTTTACATGCGAATTGTTTGTGCACACACAGAAAATGCCCACATGCTCGAATCTGTTGTACGCATAATCATGTGGAGTAGAACTGTAATTCGATCACGACAAATGTTTCAGTTTCAAATCAGTGATCGTTTCATCCCCTTTTCAGGGTTTTGAATTTGTTCGCTTTACTGCAAAATTCGTTAGAAATTATTTCTGCTGTATAGTGCACGAACGATTAGCAGAAATGCGGAAAAAATGAGTGTCATTTGGGAGCACAGAGCACTTAGTAGTTACTGTCGGAGAGTGATTTCTCCTTTTTAACTCGGATTCCGTATCCAATCGTGTTTTCTCGTCCGGCCCAAAGAAGGAAAGTGATAAAGAGGAAAAAAAGAAAGAAAGAAAAGAACAGAATGTTAAACAAAATAATGAAGAGGGGGCAAAAAAAGCCCTCGAAGCCTGGAGCAGTCGAGCCTCCAGTCTCAGCGGGCCGGCCCCCGGACATCAAGGTCAACCATGCCTCCCGCCAGCCCGGCCCATTGGCGCAGGCCCAACTCCCCATTCCCCCTATCCCCGGCGTGGTTGAGGTTCTTACAGCCCTTAAGGACACCCCTCTGGCCGAGCGGCACGCTCTTTTCGTCCGAAAGGTCCGAATCTGCTGCATCCCCTTCGACTTCTCGGACACCATGAAATCAGCCCGCGAGAAGGAGATCAAACGCCAGACCCTAGCCGAGCTTGTCGACCTCGTCCAGTCCGGCTCTTGCAAGATGAACGAGATCATGCAAGAGGAGCTTGTCCGTATGATCGCCTTCAATCTGTTCCGCTGCCTCCCGCCTGCCCCCCACGAGAATTCTGGCTCCGAGGGTGGGGATCCGGAGGAAGACGAGGTCTTTGCGGACCCAGCTTGGCCCCACTTGCAGCTCGTGTACGAGCTGCTCTTGAGATACGTTGTCTCGTCTGATATGGAGACTCGGGTCGCCAAGAGGTATCTGGACCACACGTTCATGCTGAGGCTACTCGACCTCTTTGACTCAGAGGACATGAGGGAGAGAGAGTATCTAAAGACTATTCTCCATAGGATATATGGGCGGTTCATGGTTCATCGGCCATTTATAAGGAACGCGATTAATAACATTTTATATCGGTTTATATTCGAGACCGGGAGGTACAATGGGGTGGGGGAGTTGCTTGAGATACTCGGGAGCATTATAAACGGGTTTGCGTTGCCGATGAAGGAGGAGCACAAGCTGTTCCTTGTGCGAGCCCTGATTCCCCTGCACAAGCCTAAGTGCGTGGCTGCGTACCACCAGCAGCTGACATACTGCACGGTTCAGTTTGTGGAGAAGGATTACAGGCTTGCTGAAGTTGTTATCCGGGGGGTGCTCAAGTACTGGCCAGTCACCAACTGCGGGAAGGAGGTTCTGTTCTTGGGAGAGTTGGAGGAGATTCTGGAGGTCACACACTCTGTGGAGTTCCAGCGGTGCATGGTACCTCTGTTTAGGCAGATCGGGCGGAGTCTCAATAGCCCGCATTTTCAGGTTAGGGAATGACCCGTTAATTTGTTAATTTTTGTTGATATTGTATGTGTATGTGTATGTGTATGTAAATAATCTCGTGTGAATGTTGGATCAGGTTTTATTATTTCTGTTATGCGTCTGTGCTTGGCCATCTTGTTATCTAGTCCTAATTTTCGTGGATAGAGAACAGTGATTTGTGTGCTTTTGTTGTGATTTCTTTTCTGGGTGATTGGGGAAGTATGCAACTGAATCAGTGGCTAATGTCTTTCGGTTATATTTCCTCACATGTAATTCCACGTTCTATAGAATAATCTCGTTGTGGGAGTTCTGGGATTTTAGATTTTATTATTTTTTGGTATATAAGTTGCAATTGTTTTTCCGTAGAGAAGTGTTGAATTTGCATGCTTGAATTATAGCATTTAATGCATATTAGTGATAAGGCAGCTAGCCACTTCAAACTCAATAGTACATGCCTTACGTGCATTCTCCTGCTCTTTGAAAGCTCCTGTGTGCGCTTATCTTGCTTCTTCTGTGTCAAATATCCTTTTGCTAAGGGAACTCCACTTTAATACCTATCCGTTGTTAGTTATATTTAAATCGAGAACCTGGGTTCATGTACATGGATCCTGTACCTAAGCTTATTTAGCTGTAATCTCTTTTCAAACTCCAATGGCTAGTGCCTTGTCAGTGTGCCATTTCAATTCTAGTCGAATGAATTGTACTAAAAGATAGCATTGAATTTATGTTTTCATAGACCTTTATTGATATTGTTTATTTCTTCAGTTGATTTTTATTGTCTTGAGAAAATTTCCAAATTTTCGATGTTCCAATCTTGGTGAAATTATGTCCATTGCATATGGAGCTGGAAGAGTCGTTGTTGACAATTCTCCTGACATAGTGCTAATAATGGACTATATCAAAATGGCTCAATTAAATTCTAGTGCTTCTTCTATTAGTGAAGTTTCTAGAAAAAAATATATCAAACGACGCAACGCACCTTGGGTCGCTATGGAAACAGCCTCCTTGTATAATTACAAGGGTAAGGTCTGCGTACAACTGACCCCCCAGACCCCAACCTGTTGGGAATATACTGGGTATGTTGATGTTGATGATGCAATCTTGGTGAAATGTCTTGTTTTCGGGTCTTGAGATGAGAGCAAGTGAAATCAGTTATATGATTATAGAGGTAATTCATGGACAATGTTTTCTATATGTGTGGAAAAGAAATGTACTTTGACGAGTTCTGTGCTTTCAGTGTAATTCTCTAGCACTGTGGGTAGGCAATTCTTCACATTTTGCTCATATGGTTTTCATATCACATGTTTCTGAGCAGTTTGCTCTTGCCCCCTTTTCTCACAAATAAATCCACTCAGAATGAGTTTTTTTGGTTAACCAGGGTTAATTTGGAAAAAAAATAGTATGGTATGTTGTTAGTGGGATTTTGAGTTTATATTAAAATAATATTTAAAATAAAATAATTGAAGTTGATTTGACGTAAAAGTAAGAGAGAGATAATATGAAGTAATGGTTAGTTAAAATTATGTGAGTGGATGATTAGTGAATTAAAGTTGGTGAGATGTGTAAAAATAATTGATTGTTATTATTTAATTATATTGACAATATTGAAGATAGTGGGGTTGGGTTAAGGTTGAGTTAGATTTTGAGTATGAATTGAATATGGATTAAGTAATTTTGTTTACAAACACAGGACGCTCGTTCGCTCTTCTTATCTGTGAGAAGCTGGTATTATGTTGTAGCAGAATTTATTACATTAAATGATTCGTCGGAGTTCCTACTGAAAAAAAATAAAATAAAATAAAAAAAATCTTAAAAACTATTCAATGAGTGCTAACTTCTTTTCCTTTTCAATATTTCTTCATGTTCTTCTGTATTTCAACTGCAGATTCTTGCTTTTTTCGCTTTCAACTTTTCCCAATCATCACAAATCAGTGGCTAAATAAATCTCTTTAGATTTCTGACTTTCTCTCTCTTTTGGGGAAAAAGGTTGCCGAACGAGCTCTTTTCTGGTGGAACAACGAGCACATAGTGGGCCTGATTGCCGATAACCGGCACGTGATTCTCCCCATCATATTTGACTCGCTCGATAACAACATAAGGGGCCACTGGAATCAGGCGATCAACGGCCTCAGCTCTAACGTGTGTCGAATGTTCCTGGAGATGGACAGCGAGCTTTTCGAGGATTGCCAGAGGCAAAACGAGGAGAGAGAGGCCAAAGCCTGCGAACGTGAAGAGCAACGTGTCTCCACATGGATGAGGCTCGAACAATTCGCTACACAGGTCAGTTAGAAAAAAAGAAGAGTATTTTTTTGCAGAAAATGTTGCATGTGAAAATCGTGCATTTTTGCAAAGCTCTTTCGTTGGCTGGCTATTACTCAGGAAGGGCTAAAGGCCAGAGAAGGAGAAGGTATGAATTATTTTTTCATTTTTACACGAGGTATTTCATTCTTTTGACCAAAAACTCGATCACGATATTAGTTTTTGGGTTTTAGAATATTTTGTTTGAGGTTTAGTCACACATACCTCCTCTTCTTTGGAAACAAAGGGAAATTTGACAGAGATATCGATTGAATTAAGGTTTTAAGACTGTTTGTGAGCTTTGTAAATATTCGATCCTTGTTTTAATTCGTCTTCTTTTTTCAGATTTGATTGTAGAAGTGTGGGATGCCACATGATTTTCAATACAATTTTGGTGATCGATGAATCTTCCATGCTCATGACATTCCTTCTCTATTTTTTTTTTCCCCTATCTTCAATTCTTTGCCGAATTGTGTAAATTAGTTCTATAGTGACAATGATAGTATCGACGATAAACCATCATGGTTAGTCGTAGTTGTATACAAAACTAAGATAATTAGAAGAGACAATAACATTAATGTGCTGTTGGGTGGCGCCGCCCCGCTCCCAAATGTCATGCCAAAATTGTCGCCGTCATAGCTGCTGCCACCGCCAGCACCGGGGATTGTTCCACCACCTCCTCCTCCACCACCGGACATGCTAACGGTGTTCCTCCTATAATATCAACACATTGTAATAATTAGTTTGTGCAAAAACAAAAATAATAATAATAATAATAATAATAATGAAATAATAAAATAAATAAAATCGCATCAAGAGGCTATATTTCTAAGTCTAAAATATTGAACGTTATAAAATTAAATGGTACATATCATGTATGTATATACGACAAGTATGCCCCAGTGTTTCAAAGATCGAGAAGACGAGAGAGCGATTTAAAATGAATCGCATAATAGATAGGGGTGAGCAAAATCGAGTTGAACTGTGTAATTCGGTGCGTTTTGGTTCCCTTTTTTTTTAATGTAAAAAAGTTTTGATTCGCTTCGGTTGGGTTTTTTTCCCTACATTACGGTGCGGTTATAATTTTTCTTAAGTTCGGTTTTCAGTTTTGTCCCGAACCGCACCAAATTGCATAAAATGTATATAAAAATTGAGATAAACATACATCTCTTCCATTTGCGTAGATAGAAGAGCCGGCTAGAAAGATATCTCCTAGCCCTCCCCCATATTGGGATCGAAAAACAGAGCCCTGCCCGGATACAAAAAAAAGAGCCCATGAAAGACTAACCGAAAAACCGAACCGACCTGTGCATTTCGGTGCTTTTTCGGTTCTTTTTTTTTAAAAAAATTGCGATGCGTTTCAGTTATATTTTTTTGTCAAGTTCGGTTTTCGGTTTTCACCTAACCGCACCGTTGCTCACCCCTAATAATATATAATAGCTCGCAAATGTTGATATGATGGAAAATTAAAAGAACCACGTAAAAGTAAACGATAAAATGTTTAGTTGTTCGTCATTTATACGTTTTTCTTCGCAAATATGCATAATTACAAGTGACATGGAGACGAGATTGTGTTGGACTTTTTGGACCAGTATGATCGTTTAACATCATATGTTTAATTATTTATTTTCATTGTTTTATTTATTTATTTTCTTTATTTTAATATTTATTAAGGTCATCCTAGATTTGTTAGGAAACTTATTTATTTGATTCGAGTCATTTGCTTGTAAGGCAAGATATTTTTTTAGAGTTAGGAGTTCTATTTAAAGATTCACCATCTATTGTTTTGAGGCAGTTGAGTTGAATTTTGATTGAAATAAGTTTATCTTTATTTATCCTATGCATTTATGCTTCCGCTATGTCAGTTGGTATCGGCAGTTTTGTATGATTCCTATGCGATGACACTCAAACGGAACGATGCCGCAGACAACTGGCACGACACTATTATCGAGACGTTGGAGTGCCAAAAAGAGGCCTTCGGGCTCCAAAATTGCGGATTTGACCATGGTGGTCGAGGAGATCAGATTGGCTCAAAAAGTTGCTGCACACGACAGTCATACGAACGGTGCACCGGACAAAGTACGTGGCAGCCGCGTGGGGAGGGGGGTGGTTGGTTTACGGTGCACGCGATCGGGGTACTTGCGTGGGGCCTCGCTCCCGATCGCCTCCGTCGTTCTTCATCTTGAGGACACCGTTTTCGACGTGAATACGTTTGGTACAATGGCGGCGTGGGACGAGGGTTGGTTTGCCAATGATCGGCGTTGGATGTCATTGTTTCGGGTTGAGATTTTCCGAGGTCTTGGAAAACTCTGAGTTCTTGGATGAGTAAGAGTCGACTGCATATGAGGGCCACCTCCTTTTGATGATGAGGGGTCGACCGCATATGAGGGTTTGTCTCTTTTTTATGACGAGGGGTCGACCAAATACGAGGGTCCAACTTTTTCTGATGTCAAGGGTCGACCGAATATGAGGGTCTACATCTTTTTTATGACGATGAACACGTGAGGGGGGCGTCTGCGTGACACTTCTTCTTCGTCGAGGGAATTGGCAATGTCCGAATTGTGTATGCGAATTCTGTGGAGATGCTAATGGAATTTATGTTGAAGGAAATGATGGCGTTGCTGATGAACTTACTAGATGCAACTTCTGTGGGAAAATAGAACATCACACATCGTGCAATGTAGAGGTTTCATGATCTCCCAATGAGTACACGTGATGGATCTTTCTGTGGGTTGAAGTGCCATGAGCTCCACGGTCATCTACATCAAATTTTTGGTGTTAAACATGAATTGGAAGATGAATTTTCATGGTCTTTTATTCAACAAGCAGATGTGTCGATAACTCGCATCGTGTACTCCAAAAGGACAAAGTGCAACATGCCATTTACTTTGGGTTATTGAGTACGTGGGAATTTTTTTGGAGCTTGAGGAGTAGCACTTATAGATTTTCTGCTCCTGAGTATATCAAGTTCACGGCCCATAAAATTCGCCCGATTGAGATTGTGGAGACAAGATTGCGCCAGATTCGATGGTAGATCATTTTCGGGAGGGGGAGAATGATGAAGACGAGATTGTGTTGACCTTTTTAGACAAACATAATCGTTTAACATTATTGGTTTAATTAATGATTTTTATTGTTTTATTTATTTATTTTCGTTGTTTAATATTTATCAAGGACATCCTAGATTTGTTAGAAAAATATTTATTTCATTCGACTTCTTTACTTGTTGGGTAAATATTTACTTAGGGTTAGGATTTTTATTCAAAGACTTCTCTTCTATTATTTTGAGGCAGTTGAGTTAAAATTTGATTGAAATAAACATATTCAGAATTATTTCTTTAATTATCTCATTCGTTTACGCTTTCGTTATGCCACATACTTGTCAAATATGCATTTTTGTTCAAAATATATAACAATTCAAACTTGTCAAATTGTTAGGTTGACTGACCCAAGGATTTGTAAAAAGATAAAAAGGTGTTTAGCACAAGGTTGTACCAAAGATATGAATATGAGAAATGAGACAATGGAGGGGCAAAAAGGTCATCCTACCACCAAGTTGAGTGAGCTAACTCGGAAATGGGAAAAGTCCTTTTCTCCCCGTGGGGCCGGAGCGGCTCTCAAGTGGGCTGGAGGAAAATGAAATTAGTAGGCTAGGCCCACATTCCTGATTCTAAATACAGTGGCCCACAAGTGGCTCAAAAGCATGGATGATGGACCGAATATAAACACCTTCACATTCACACAAAAACCCAGAAAAAAATGTAACCTAGAGATGCTCTACATTATCCTAGCTTTTTTCTTAGGTTTCCCGTCTTGGTTAGAATATTTAAAACTTTAGCACCCAAATGTCCATTTAAAATACAACATAAACAAAAATATCACATTCAAAGTTAGAAAACAAGCAATTTTTGCAAGAAAAAACGAGTGTACGATGACCTAGCGATAACGACAAAACAGTCTGACAACTAAGAACATTTCCAATACTCAAATGTTGTTGTAGTAAATTTAATTCCACATCAATATATTTGGCAATGTCACAAATATTAATCTTCCAATGCACAATGTGATCACAAATATTATGGTGGTAACATGTAATTTTTGCAAGAAAAAACGAGTGTACGATGACCTAACGATAATGACAAAACAGTCTGACAACTAAGAGCATCTCCAATGCTCAAATGTTGTTGTAGTAAATTTAATTCCACATCAACATATTTGCCAATGTCACAAATTTTAATCTTCCAATGCACAACGTGATCACAAATATTGTGATGATGTGGACACAATTAATGTCTACAGTGTAGAGAAGAATGTGGTTTATCAATATTCTCTTCCACACTCTAGATAGCCAATGAAGAAAAGAGAGAGAATTATTCTTACCAATTCCAAATCATTTATTTATTTAATTAATTTTCTTACTACATATTACAAAAAATTTAATATTTAGTAAGTAGATAATATTGTAGTTAGACTACATTGTACATTGGACATAATTTTTTAATTTCATAGTTGTTAACTTAACATTTTTCCTACATAGTTCACAATCTCTATAATTTACTGACATTTGTCAAAATTTATTCTATAACAGAATTAGAGCATCGGAGATGCTCTAACATGTGTCCTAGATTCCAACTTTTGGTCTGAAGGGGTTAGAAATAGAAAGTTATTAGAAGCCATAAAATGGTTGCCCCCATTGAATGTGTGTGAAAAATGTAAAGCTACATGCTAAAAGAAAAGATGATATAATAGAAAAATGATGCAAAAGCCATATAAGTGTGATGTGATACAAGCATCCTCCAAAAAGCTCCATTAGATAGTGTGTAAGGACACAAAAACACCTTGAGGGATGAGACATATGCCAATGAATTCACGGAGGCTATGTTTGGTAAACTTAGCTAATAAGCTAACTTATAGCTTTTAAATGAATTTTGAGCTTACAACTGATAACTTATCAAGTTATGATTGAAAATCTGGCTTATATGATAAAAATGTTCAATCGAGCAAATGAGTCGAGTCGAGTCGAGTCTCGAGTATTATTTGAATATAAGAAACTTATAAACTAATCAAATAAACTATAAGTTAGCTTATATGCTTATTAAACACAACCTAACTAACAACTTTATTCGGTGATAAACTCGAGGAAATATAAGTGTGTTTGTGTGTGTATACGCACGCACGTACCTTGGGCTTCCGAGAACACCGACATTCATGGTGAGTTGGTCGATGAGGGCAACCGACATGGGCTCGACACTTGAGGCCTTGGCATATTGCATGCTGAGCCCTTCACCCGATGGGACGAAAAACGCGCCATTTACCATTATGTCCCCATCCGTTCTCCAATTCCACCCGGCCCACTCCCCCTCGTCTGTGTCCACACGCTTTGTTACCTTTTTTCTCAAATTATCGAAAGCGATGCGTAAAATTTTGTAAGTGAAGATCCATTTGCATTCAAAATAATTCACTTAATCAAGGGTTGTGTTAGATTTCATTCACATTTGCTGATCTTTTGGGTGATTAAATTATCCGATTTTCTTGCTGATGGTGACAAGAACAGATCTTTGAATTTAAAGTGTAATTTGTAAAATTGTATAATCCAAGTTGGGAGAAAAGCAAGGATAACTAATCTTAAAAAGAAATCAAAGGGGCCCGCATTAGGTGAGTGATTGTCTTCCTTAGTCCACATGAATGCAAGCAATTTGAAAACATACTCTGATTATGATAACATACATAATTAAACACCATATTCAATGACCTAATTCAAACTTTATGCACACTGTAAGATTTGATTTTCCTACCAAATCTTAAAGCCCCTTCACCTTTTCTTCAACCTTTTTTTTTCTAATTGCATAAACAAATTACTCGAAAAGTTAAAACGACGATTACCTCCTTCGCGTTAGGATCTCCCGGTGCAGTATAACGATTGCCTTGGCTATTAATGGTCGGGCTCGCGCTTCCACCGATTGCGTACATTTGCCACTCGGTAAAATCGTTGTTCACCACGTGAATATATCCCCTTCTGCACCTCGGCATTCTCTGCACTAATCCTTCCCCAAAGTGATTAAACGCTATAGTCACCTATTCGTTTCGTTAGGCAGAACGACACGCGTATATAAGACAATGACCGTAAAAAAAGAATGCAAGACAAAACCGTAACAAGTTGCCTAGACGAAATCAAGAATGTCAGCCGAACCTGCATTCCCGAGTCGGGCAAGTAATTATCATTGTGCCCGAGTAACATAACCTCGTCGTGGTGCGAAAAATAGCTATTCGAAATCGTGATGGCGGTCGAGCCCATTATGGCATCGATCAACCCATCCGTGCAACGAGACAAATCACAATGGTCGATCCAAATGTTCCTCGACCCGAAAATCGAGATCCCGTCACCATCCGACTTACCCCTCCAACCCGCGTGCTCCGGGCTCGACCGCACGATCGTGTGGCCCGAAGGGGTACAACCGTAAATACGCACGTTGTGTATGATTATGTTAGTCACCGCTTGCAACGTGAAGCAACCGTTCCCGGTTATGTGCACGTGGGCCCCACGACCATCAATTGTCTTGAAGTTGTTGAAAATGAGCTCGTGCCTTAGGCGGATGACCATGCTCGATTGGAACACGATCCACAGGGGCTCGTCTTGGATGACGGCGTGGCGGAGGGTGCCGGGAGTGGGGTTTGCCGGGTCTCGGTCGGAAGAGTCGGTCACGAGGTAATAGCGGCCGCCCTTGCCGCCGGCGGCCGACCGGCCGAAGCCGATGGCGCAGTCGGCCAGGCGCTGGCGGTCGGTCGCCCAGTTGGGGTCGCACCGCCAGCAGTCGTCGATCGGGTTGCCGGTGAGGCATTGGGCCGCCGGACCGGAGAGAGGCGGGCCCGAGAGGATGAGCTGGCGCCTTCTTGATATTGAGGCATTGACTACCCTAAAAAGAAAGGAAAAAAGGAACGGGAAAAAGGAACGGAAAAAAAAACAGGGGAATGACTTAGAAAACAGGGCAATACAAGAGCATTAGAATTAGTTGGGAGGCATAAACCTCACTGTAACTGCACAAACCCATGAATAATAAAATCACTTGAAAACACTAAATTTATCAACAAAATGTGATAAAGATTAAAACCCAGATGGGCTTTTGAGCTGTGTGTATTGATTATTGTATATATAGAGACCACTTGTTTGTATGTATAATACCTTTGAACTTCTTGGGCTTCAGCTTCTGGGTTAGGGTGTTGATGAGGGAGTGTGAGATTGAAGAAAATGGGAGATGAAATGGATGAAGAGAGAGAAAGGAAGAGGAGAGAGAAGAAGAGAATGGTGGTTTGAGAAAGCATTCTTTGGGGAAGAAGAAGAAGAAGAATGAAACAAGAAATAAATTAAATAAATAAATAAATATTGAAAATAGAGATGGAGGGTTTTTGTGGTGTTCTATGTATATCTTTTATTGCGAGGGATACTCTAAAGAAAAGAAAAGATTTCTTGCTTCCTTTAGATGGGGATTTTAGAAGGGGAAATGTTATGATGGTGGGTTATGTATAAATTATTAATATTGGTATTATGACCTTTGATCAAGGTTTTAAATAGTGGGCTAAAATGTTTATGGCACTGTAGCTATAGCGGAGCTATAGCGGAGATTTAGCGGGATTTAGCGGCTAAATTGCACATGAATACAAATAGCGGCACGCTGCCAAAAAAA